ACACTCTTGAAAAAATACCTAACTTCCCTTGCGATTTCAGCCATAAGTCGTATTACATTGTGTTACCGTGTCCTCGGGGAACCTAACAATACATAGTTCAACTGCCCATTTTTGCGCATTCACGGTCCACGCGTTTTTTTAAGACATGCATGTTTACCAACAACACGAGGCTGTTGGTACATTAGTTCTTATAATATTGTTATTTCAGCATCAGTTTTTCACTGCTCATTCACAAGAATGTACATTTTTGGAATCTGGCGTTCTATGAATTGATCAGATGCAGACAAGACCCACCAAGGGACCGATGTTGTTTTGTAAACTCTTGCTGGAAAGGATATCAAAAATACTAATGTGTTAAGGACGCTTGTTTACAGTGTATCGTGAAATTGAGCGTACACCCTACAACATTTTTTTAAACATTCTGAATAGATATATATATTTTTTAATCTTGGCTGGTAGGAACCCTAATAAACAAATCTTGATAGATCTGTTATAAGAGCGTAACAGCTTTTGTAAACAATGACTTTTCTCGATGATTTCTTGGAATTCAAGGCACGCCCACGCAAACCAACATGGCCTTCGGGTAGGGGAAGTCTTACCCTACCTGATGGCGATGTTTATTTGCGTGAGCTAGCATTGACTTTCAAGACATCATCGAAATAAGTTTTTGTTCACAAAATCTGTTACGCCCTAATTCCAGTTCTATCTTAAAATACCACAAACGAACAATAAATCAAAAAGTTGAACTTTTCAACAAATGGTTTGGATGGTACCCCGAACACGTTGTCAAGCAAAAATCAAAACATTTTTATTAGGGTAAACAGATGTTTATTGATTTATCGTTTAAGTTTTTCTCTTTATTGGAATAACCTGTATGAAGTTAGATTTATTTTAGTAAAACGCACGATTCTCAACTTTTTATCTAGTGGACGATTTTTAGTAAAATAAGTGGAATATGTATGATCTTTATTACAACTAAAAATAAGCAAAATTAAAAAAAAGTTTAGTTCATTATATTTCTAGGTATTAAAGTTTTTCAAGGTTACTTTTAATAAACGCAAACAAATGAGGCCAACACTGTACCAATAATTGATACATTTATGATGATTCAGCAGCCAGAAATTCAGAAACGTATCTCTTCAAATTTAAGGACATCTGTACGCTCAATTTTGAAATACACGGTATGTAAATGAATTGTGGCACACTGAAAGAAAGTAAACAGAAAAAAATTTACTATGATTTCCAAATATTCAGATTGGTTGAAATATATAGAGAAAATCAATTTAAGAAAAATTGTACAAGAAAAGGAGCATATTTGCTGTAATCGTAGGAGAACAAAAAGTGATTGTGATGGATATAGCAATCGCCCTAAGGGTTGATGCATACATTATGTCACGCTCTAAGGGGGGAGGGGGGGTCTAAGATTTTGTGACAAACAATGCATTAGGTTTAAGAAAAACGTCACGATAGGGAGGGGGGGGTGACATAATTAATGCATGGGCCCTAAAAAAAGATGATATTTATAAAACCTGATTTTCACATTTGTTACTAAATAAATCGATATGCCTTTCAAGAGTTCATTAACCATTAGACTGATGCAAAATTTGAAATTCTCGCTCCACAGTGCTTAAGCGGTTCCAAATTGGGTCCTGCTTAGCCTCCCAAAATTTGAACTAATTTAGTAAGAAACTGACTTGGCACAAACCATTTCAAGTTTATATGAGAATTACTATGGGAAAACTTATATTTTTGTTCATATCTATCTTACAATTCACCACATCACTATGCTTTTAAAAGTGATCTCAGCTATAACTTTGTCGAAAACTAATTTTCAATCAAATGTAAGGAACAAAAGTTATTAATGATTCAAGTCACTGATGTATTATGATTATGCTCATTCAACTGTACAGCAGGCAACATTGGTGTTTCTGGTGCATAGAATAGAGCACAAATATCATGGCTACTATGTCACACTGCAGAAAACAGTGTTGCCCACAAAACAGCTGCTTGATCATGCCATAAGATTATCAATCTCTTAAACAATTAATAACAATTTAATTTGACATTTGGCTGAAAAACGATATTGTGCCAAGTTGTAGCTTAGAAAATTTCCCGTACGAAAAGTTATAGAAATTTTCGAAAAATCAATATGGAAAATGGGCAGAAGACAATGAACAAAAAGTTTGGTTGTCCCATAGTTATTACCATATAAACTTCAAATAGTTTGTGCCAAGTCAGTTTCTTACCGAATGAGTTTAATTATTGGGAGGCTAATCAGGACCTGATTTGATGATTTCTTTTATTGTTTGTACTTATTTTAAGATGTTATGTACATTAGGATTACGTTGTTATTAATAACAATATTTAACTAAAGAACATCAAAATCTATTCTGGAATAGTCATGTAGATGATAATTTAAGCGGATGGATGAGTTCAATATACTATTTCTTTACATCCTCCCTCAACCAATAAAAAAGGTAAAAATGTTCAACTATCACTACAAAGTGGATTAATCTAGTAATTTTTGTATCATATTTGAACTCAGCGACCCAAATTGAGAATCAGTCATTCAAAACAAGGATTGGGTACCATCATGGAAGAATAACCGTGCTGACTGAGCTACTGACCGAGTGCTCGGCTGTCAGTGACTCGTTTACTTCTCAATCATTCAGACTCTCACGAGGCAGCTTATATTGAGGCAGATGGCAGTTCATATTCATATGAAAATGACTCATTGAATCTGAATGTTTTGCGCACTGCCACTGTGCAATGGCGCGGTCGCGTCCACGTATTGGTATTTTTCTTTATGTTTGCTTTCTTTTGATTGGTTAATTGGTAAATGGTTGTTTCAAAATTCTCCCACCAGCTAGGAAAAACGAAGAGAAGTACTAGATTAAAAGAAGATTAGTTATAAGTTTGATAGAAAATAAACCCAGATTATTCTTAACTTACCAAAAGTTCTGATAAAAGGCAATTTGTGACTTAAGCACTTGGTTGAAGGTGGCCTATAGAATTTTAAGCAGTCTCATTTTTAAATCGTTATAAGAACTTGAAAGTTCCGGTACCATAATTTAAGAGCATTCTAAGCAGCTTCTGGCGGAACTTGAACGGAGCTTTTAGGAAATAAGTTGAAAAAGGTTTTTTCCGTTACACTAATTTTATATTTCGTTCGCACTTTTATGAAAGTTACTTCTAAAGTCAGGTCTTTATGAAAGTTATTTCTAAAGGCAGTTATGAACGTGTATTGATTTAACAGCATTAGTAATTGTATTCAGCTGTTTGAAGAATTAAACCCAGTCCCCGTCTGCGTGAGAGCCCCAGCACGAATCGCTACGTCATCTGAAATCCATTCAAGTTAGCTGTTATCCCGCCTACTGTTGGAGTTTTCAATGCCAGCTTACTGACTTGGATGCGAAACGCAACACCTTGATGAATTTTAAATTGGTGATTGCCCGCATGGTATTCCAACACACTTGCGGTGCAGTGGTTAGCGTTCGTAGATCGCACGCCAAATACACGGGTTCGAATCCATAAATTTGCTTTTTTTTGCTTGGATGGAATATTGATGCACTGTATAAGCATAAGAATTATGATTTATTTGAGCCACAGATTATTTCATATTTACGTACATTAATTTTTGTTCCTAAAAAATACTTGTGCGGATTGCTTCATGTGGGCTGTGACGGACCTTTTTATAAACTTTCAAGTTGCTAAAAAGTTCCACGGTGAACTTTAAAGATGCTTTAAAGTTGCTAAGAAGTTCCGCAGGGAACTTGTTCATAACTTTCTTGTGGCCATGTTTTCAGCCTTGCCTGAAGTTCCTAAGAAGCACTTAGGGATGCTTTTTGGAACTTTTTTGAGCTTCAAGTTGCTAGAAGTACGCATTGGAACTGTTTTGGAGCCTGAAGTTCCTCGTGTGCTTTCTTTAGCTTCTAAATCAGCCAGAAAGTTGTATTTGAATTTTTTATGCACTTCATGGAACTTGAAAGTGGGTTTTATCGTTGAATGCGGAACTTTTGGTTGCTTGGGTTTGTTTAACCACCAAACGGCGAAGACACTTTTAATTCTGTTGATGACAGGCGACTAAACTTGTTTTTTTGATATTTCTAGATGTAGTTTTGATTTGATTTCAATATTCAAGAGAATTTCAGGAGTGGGGTACTCCATCTGGGATTAAAATTATAACAACCGTTGTTAAAGAAATCTGTGAAGCAAAATAACACAAGTTGTTATAATGTTGCTATTTCCTTCTGGTTGGTAATATATTGATGCGTGTGGGGCTCAGTACTGACCTGAATCACATAATTTCTTTCCATCAATGAGAAGAATTCGGAAACGTTTAGTTATTATGATCTTACAGTTCTCCCAACTCTAATTATCTAGCCACAAATTAATGTATCTCTACCCATCGTACTAATCAAGAAGCTTCTCTCAATATTTGGTAACATCCACTAATGATACACTCATTATCTGTATACAGTACAATCTTCCCTTTTATCACTTCAAAGAAGAGTACCTAATACCCAAATCCATTAGCCGCGTATCCTTTGCGGAATCTTTGAATGGATGCTTATTTCCGTGCAATACGACCCCGGATGGGCAGCCGACTGGCCATCGACCGGAAAAGAGATCAAAGCCTTCAAATATCTTTCATTCTACCGTGCAAAACAAGCATCTGTCGAGGAGACAACCAGCCAATCTAATAATTGATGTCTTACGCATTAGGAAAATTAACTTCGAGCTGGTCCCAAATGGAAGTCTACGAGAAAGTACTAACTATGATGATATCGACAATATATTACCTTGCCGTCGTAGAACAAAAGGCCAAGTGGCTAATGGACGCCTCGGTCGTGAGGCACACTATTGCAGGAACTAAAAGCCTTACCAAACTATATCTATCGCCCGAATGGACGTCGGCCGCATGCCAGGCCATTTTGCGAGAAGCAATTATGAACTTTTAACTCAAGTTTAGCAACTCTACATCCACACCGGATACTTACTTGCAAGCTGTCCATTACGTGAGCCGCAGTCTGCGAAGGATGCCCCCGGTGGTGGCGTTGGTGTCTGATGACAGTGATGATGGTGGTGATGGTGATGATGATGGTGCGGGAGACAACTCGAAGACGACGACGACGACGGGGGCCTCGGCTGCTGTTGGTAAAGGGGTGATTGCTCTACTACTGACTGTTGTTGTTGTTGTTGTTGTTGTTGTTGTTGTTGTTGCTGATGTTGAGAATGTGTCCCCGTAGCAGCTGCCGATGAGGATGAACAAGCACCGTAGCTGGAGGCAGATCCTTGACACGTGGCGTCGTAGCAGGGCGACTGTTCGCGTGGTGCTACGGCTAGATCATCTTTGGTAAATTTGTTCTCGGGTGAACTGGCCACTGCAAAAGATACAGAGATGAGGAAAATGTACGATGAAAATAACGTAACGATGCGAAACAATTTAGGACGTGATGTGCAGATCGTGTGCATCATACAGGCGACTGCGAATGGTGTGGTCACTAAACGGGAACAACGATTTATTTTCAGATGTTTGGGTTTTAAGGTCAAGTGCTCACGCAATGGAGGCAGTTCCAGGTCAAATACCGAAATTTTACCTTCCATGAAAATTCGCATAACTAATCATGTTACCATGCTTCTACTGCGTTAATTTTCCTTCAGATGTCACAACTGTTATTAATGGTGACATCTATCATAAATTACGCATACGCTTAGTTCCGTTAATTGTTAACAGAGGGCAGTGCTGTCAGAACATGTATGGTACCTCTATATATGCAGTTAGATTAACATCCGAAGACCCTCATTTTTGTACATATTCTGTTAAAAAATATTTTCTAAGCCCCGCCACTGACAGGATTTTTCACCATTTTCATGAATGGAGCGGGACAGAAAGTACATTTTGTGCAGAATATGTAAAATGGAAGGACTTCAGATGTTAATCTTACTGCATGTATAGAGGTGCCAGACATGTTTTGCAGTGTCAGATACTCTAGTTTGTAGTCTGTAACAGGAAATTATAAATAGAGTGTCATCAAAATACATGGCATATTGAGAGATGAAACTCGTGAGAGGAGATTTTCTCTCTCAAATTTAATTTTTCAGGCTCTCTGGAGACTGGTAGTAAAGCGGGTAAAACTGTATGGAGGATATTAGTTTTGTTTAACAATAATTTCCGGGAAATAAGTGAACGACAAAGTTTGACCTGAATTTGTAACAAAAGCAAATTATTCCCACTTCTCTGAATTTATATTTGTAGATTATAATTTCTTCCTATTTGCGCAACAGCGCCATCTCTATGGAAAATGGCCTGACGATATGATTCATTGTTTGCTAGGGGTAATGAACCAAGTTTATTCTCGAATTTGGCCATTTTACTCAAGCATTACGTATCAAAATGGCGTATTCGATATTTTTCAATAAATCATAGTACGAAAACGGCTCCTCTAGTCGAAGTGATGTCTGAGACAATAATAAGTTTGTTCCCGTACTTGCTTTTGCTGTAAGCCATTTATCAACAGTCTTTCAACCAATTGAGCTGACTTTTGTGATTGTCAAGTTTGAGGTTGACCCTAATCACATACAAAAAATCAGCTCCATTGGCTGAAAGATTCCTTAGAAACGGTAGGTAGACGGCACTACCCATTGCGCAAATCGGGGATTCCTATATTATTTTCTTACAGCAACTTACAGAAAAGGCAAAAAAGCAAGTACGGAAACAAATCTAATGCAGGATGCTAGGCTGGTTTTTCTGAAAAATTACACACTAAAATACTATCCAAAATTACAAAATCCAAAATTACAAAATCCAGTATTACAAAATCCAAAATTACACACTAAAATACTATCCAAATTAAAATGCTAACTTTTCTAAAAAAGACACAATGTACGCTTCAAAATTGACAAAAATCGTAGAACATAAACTTTTAGTTATATTTTTGAACGATTTTTTAACACAATATAAGTATATTTGATTTGTGCATGGGAAATCATTTTGGGGACCAAACAATAAAAATTAAAAACAATAAAAATTATTAAAGGAAAATTAAATTAAAAATTCGTACTCAGAGTTAAGTGTCCATTGTGTCAATTTTAGTAAAGTTTGCATATTTGATAAGCTTTCCAAGAAACATATGTTAAACAAGCTTAAAAATTAACTTTGTTTTTAAATTCTTTACAGAGCATGGTGATTTTTTTCAGTGTGTATTTTTTTTCTGGAAAGGCAATTCAATTTCCTACAAATCTGTCTCAGACGTCATTCCGATTAGATAAGCCGTTTTCGAGCTTTACTTTATTGAAAAATGTTGAATACGACATTTTTAAAAATTAGGCGTTAGTCGAAATGGCCGAATTCTGGCAAAAACTTGGTTCATTGCCCCTAGTGAACAATTCTGTGAAGTTTCAAGGAATGAACCATTTTGTCAAGGGTATTTTTCACACAGATGGCGCTGTTCCATTCCATTAAGTTATAAAAATCCCCATATAGAAATTTGGAAAAGATTAAATCATACGCTTTTGATGCATATTCTGGTCAAAAAAAGTTGACGTGAATATGTAGTTGTGGGTTAAATTTTTTTTTAACCGCTTTACTAACATTTAACCGCTTTACTACCAGGCTCCAGAGAGCCAAAAAAAAAATCAAATTTGTGACAGAAAATTCTCTCTCACATGTATTTTGATGACACTCGATTTGTGATTTCCCTCTCACAGATTACAAAATAGAGTACCTGGCACTGCAGAACATCTGAAGTCCATCATTTTTTACATATTCTGCACAAAAGATACTTTCTGCCCGCCCCATGCATAACAAACGGGAGGGAATTCGGGTGTATTTTTTTAGGAGAATATGTAAAAAAGGAGGGACTTTGGAGTGTAATATAAATGCCTATATAGAGGTATCAGACCTGTTTTGCACTGCACTGTCACAAACGAAGTGACAGACGGAGTGGCTCAAAAACTTTGGTGACGAACCTGCTATTGCAATTTTTCAGTGTACCACATGGCAACACCACTACTACTGGATTGTACTAGCATTTTCACCAAATGTACTAGATTGTTGTGGTTCTATCCAGGGATGGAAAATCATTTACATTCATTTCGTGCATTCATTTACATTCATTTGCCTATGGTAACTTTTTCATCAACAGAATACCGTAAAATGATGTATAAAGCTTTTGAAATTTTTGATATGAACTACAACTTTTACAAATAAATAAAATCTGTATCTCTTATGCATGACGAAATAGAGCTGGCAGAACATGTTATTGTTTTTCAGTGAAGTCAATGCAAGACCAAAGCCTACAAAACCTTCCAACACTATTTTTTGGAATTCTGTTGATGAAAAAAATTAGAGGCAAATGAATGTAATTGAATGCACGAAATGAATGTAAATGATTTTTCATCCCTGGTCCTATCTCTTTCACTCTACTTAAAACTGAAATGCATAAAAAAATGACAAAATGATACACTCTTTGCACACTGTCAAAGATCATTCGCACACAAAATCAACTTTGTTCAAATAAAGACAAAAATACTAGCCTAGCATCTGTCACTTCGTTTGTGGCACTGTCCTCTGTGAACAATGAAAGGAAAACAGATTATGCGTAGTTTCCAATAGCCATTTTGTCAAGCTTCTGCATGCACTTTCCATCAGATGTTATTGATGGAAAATGCATGCAGAAGCTTGACAAAATGGTAAATTTGGAGAGGGTAAAATGAAATCTATTCGTCAGTTTGCGTGGAACTGCTCAATGGTGTGGCGTTGGTGAGGCATCACAGTGGACGTTTTGCCGTTATGTGTGACGTAGTACGCGGGTACCCAGCTTCCTCTTCTTAAAAAAGAAAAATCCGTCACGCACATTCGGTTCAAACGTTTGATCGATGTCGGATGATGTGATGCTGCAGCCACACCAGTACAGCGCAGCGGTCGAATGGCCTTAAATAGGAAGGAAGGGGGATAGCCTGAGGGGAGATCAAATTTAATTGAGGGATCGTATGACAACGGAGGTTAACTTTGTAGATTTTAATTTTTTACTTACTGACAAAGAACAATGGCAATTGGAATTACCATTCGGATATGATTTGTGATGACTATACTCTACTTGTTTAAAAATTTAGATATGGAAAAGGGATAAAAATACTACTTCAATCTACTACTCAACAACTCTACAAAACAAAGCGTTTTAATTTCTACTGGCAAGCCATTCATTTGACAAAACTACCCTGCTTCAACTACTCAGTATTCAAATTGCCATGAAATCTGACTCCCCAGCGTGGTTTCTGGTAGGTTCAAGTTTTGTTCGTGTATCATACTTTTTCAAATATGCGCATAGTTTTGGTAAAAGTGCCGAAGGCCATACTTGAAATTCCTATCGCTGTCATCCGTTATTCTTGACGTAGCTGGCCTGGCACACAACAAACGATAGCTCACCCAGTTCGTCATGAAGTTGAATTTTCCACAAAATGTAGAAGAAGATGAAAATTGCTAGCGAAAGCGTCGTGGGGTCTGTGCCTGTGAGTGGGTGGATCCGATTAGCAATGCTAATGAAGCTTTTTTTCCGTTGAAAGATAACCGGCTTTTATTTGCATTACTGTGATATCAAGGATACATTGTCAAACAGCCGTATCTGCTTTTGTAAACAATGCTTCAAACGCCAAATTGTCGAAACTTCTAGCACACCCACGCAAACTAACACCACCAGCAGGATGGGGAAACTTTATCCTACCGGATGGTGGTGTTGATTTTCGTTAGAAAGCAAGCCGTTTAGACAAATTGACGTTTGAATCATTGTTTGCTAAAGGAGATACGGCTATTCGAAAATTGGGTTCATGCAATTCTGTCACATCTCAAAATAAGTATACTCAAAAAATTTGCTAGCGGAATGTACAGCCTTTGAAAAATAGGTGAAATACCATGACATTATTTGGTATTTGTATGGCTTTAACCGATAAAACGGAAAGCGGTGAGTTGTGACAGTATTGCATGAAACCGACGATGTATTCATTCGAGGCGCGCCATGACTGTGGGAAGTTTTTATGTTGATGTATGAGTATTAGGTACTTGAAGCGTCATGAAAGTTGATGGAACGAACGGTGCTACATCCTTGCCCTAGAGATGTTCATAAGTATGGTAAGCGCGTATTGTGTTCGATGATGGATTGTGAATTCATTACAATCATTAGCCATTAGCGGCGCTTGCCCAAGTTGTTGGACAGACGCTTCGAAATACATCTTTCTAGTAGAAGGCAGTGGTTAGGGAATGTATGCTGCGGGAGGAGGAAGTTGAGGAACTGAACAGTTTGTTTACTAACACTGCCACGAGCATTCCTCTACCATTTTTTTTTCTCGATTTACGATGGTTAGATTATTGTGGACCAACAGGTCC